GGAGTATTAGAAAAAAGGAAGGAATTAAGAAAAGAGGAATAAAGAAAAGATAGAAAAGGAGGAGGAAGAAAGATAATACTAACCCTTGTTTTTATAATAATAATTAAGAAGGTTGTAGATGACGATTATAGGCTATTGTTTTGAGGCTCTTTTAAATTAAATATGTGTACCATTATTACCTACAGCGACAAGAAGGCATGCTGTATTTTGGCAGCTACCTGACCTCTCTTGAACGCTGCAAACAGCAGTCAGTTTTGACTAACTGTTGACTGACCTGACACACACATACACTATACTAGCAATACATGATTATAATTCCTACATCCCAGCACACACCAGTCAACATATCTCAAGTAATATTACCTCGTGAGGAAGATCCTGTCAAGAATGAAAAGCTGGACACACTAATGAGGGTGTGTATGTGGGTTGGGTACAAACCCACACACACACCCACTAACGTGTTACTGTAATCAATGCACCAGCTTTCCATTCTTGACAGGATCTCCCTCACAAATATTACTAGAAACATACTGCCTAGTGTATGACGGGACAACTATAACAAGCGTATCAGGCCAGTCGGTAATAACGGGGAATGTACCTACACTATAGGGTTCTTTACATTACAACATACGCGTGATGTTTCGTGTAACAAGCCCCTCCCTAATGGTATTATACGCATGCACATGGGGACATACATATAAGGACATGCAAGGATTGTATGAGTGCGTTACTAGCCAGGTCTGGTCGGCCAGCCCAGCTAGTATTACAACTATTGACTTGCTGATTGATCCATGAGAATCCATCCTGCAATATCCTTGAGTGAATTCCTCCATGAATTCTTTGAACTTGAGATTTCGAACTTCCTTTGAACTTGAGATTTTGAACTTCCTTTGAACTTGAGATTTCGAACTTCCTTTGAACTTGAGATTTCGAACTTCAATGGTTTGACGGGAACGTACGAGTCCATCAACTTGAAACACGTACTTGTACAGCTCCTAAAATTAAATAAAAAAAAACAAGTTAACATGAGCAGTATATACTATCATAACAAATAACAATAGAGAGTAGTGCTATAGCAACAACTAATAGAAAAAAAGAGGCTATTGACAATGACACTGAAACAAGAGGCTATAACAACAACTAACGGTAAACAACAACAACTAGTAGTTTATAATAACTAATGGCTGCTATGATAACTACAAGTACACAGCAACATGTAAAGATACATGGCTCTTAAATAAAACAAAATTCTTCCTCACTTCGCCCGAGACTTCTCATCCGCCATCCTTTCCAATTAATTAGACCAGTTACTGGGTGGGCGTGGCTCCAAAATGGCGGCAACTTTAAAAAGCACGTGGTAGCATTAAAAGTACAGGATTTACTTGTCCCCTGTAAAAAGAAGAAAAATAAGTAACACGAATCAAAAAATAGTAAGAAGAAGAGCAGAAAAAGAGAGAGAGAAAGAAAGGGAGACTGTGGGGTGGCTAACCATAGCAGGGGTAGCAACTATCACAGAAAAAGTCACAATCCATTGTGACATTTTACAGAAGAGAAAATAAGATCCAGGAAGAAAGGAGGATTACTGCTGGGTATAAATAGAAAGGATCAACAGCTGGTAACCTGTAAAAAAAAGAAAAATATAAATGAAGGAGTGTTTAAAAGACATAACTAACCATAGCAGCCATTGAAAGAAGAGATCACAGCACGCCATGGGCTTTTAGAGAGCCAACTGCAGCAGTATCTCTTGACTAGGAGAGAGACAGAGAGAGCTCGATCCTTTGGCGCCAAAAGAAAAAGCAGAAATGACTGGATGATGAAGGGGAGCTCATTTTATAGCCACTGGGGATTTCCCGGGAAAGGACCTTACTGCGTGAATCTGATTGGTCGGGTTGATACTCCACCCACTGCATACTCAGCACTTTCCACTTTTGACCAAATTTGGTCAAAACTTACTCTGAATCACGTGAGCTCCACTCAAAGGCGCGGCTAGTTATTAAACTTACGCGAATTATCTACCAGATAAATGTATTGGTAGATTTGTAGTTTTAAAAATTAACAAAAAATCTAAATGTCATTAGAATCCACTCAAACTCTCTATACAACATGAAAACCTGTATATGCGTTAGTTAACCAAGTATGCAGAATAATTAACCTTAACTAAATCACTTATTAACAAGTCAATGCTCAAGAGCTGTAAGGGCCGTTTTAGCTAAGCATTGCAAAACATAGTCAAACATAAATTGATAATAAAAATTGATAAAATTGTGTAAAATTACACAGACAGTGGACATCCTCCTTGAATTGACACATGAAGAAGAACAGAGGGTCCATAGAAACTGCTTTAATAGATGGTGGTACACCTAAGAAAAGCTAAATCATATCAGACCAGCCTAGCATACATGTTTCATGCAATTCCTTCAAATGCCTTTTATATTCATCAGCGAGTGTGAACCAGTTACTACTAACATCAACATGCTCCGTTAGCTCAGTAATAGTTGGAGTATCTGACAAGAAAGCGGCATGGAAAGAGCCCTCCATATTTGATTTCATGCAGCCCCACCCTGCTAAAAATGACACACCCACGCACATGTAGTTTTATAAGTGAATATTTATACACACTTGGCAGTCTCTTGCTATTAGATCTAGTGTTAGCATACTAAGAATAGGATGGGTTACATCACACAATTAGTCTTGTGTTTATATCATATATATTAGAGACTATGTAATCTACTTATTAGAGGTAACGTAGTCTATAATATCTATATGTTTATATGAACATGAACACTGTATTTGATTTGACATTTATTGTGTAGTATTATTATAATTATCAGTGCTATCATTAGCATTTTGATTATTATCATGACTAGATAGTATGGTATCATTCCTATACTGCTGTAAATATTATTATTCTTACTCTTCTTATCATTTATGAGTAATACTTGGCCATTAGGTCTACTAGACTCTATGTGTGCTAGGTTCTTCCTCTTCTAGGTTATTATGTGTTGTGTCATCATATTATGTAACTGTAGATAACTGTTTATGTCATTATTCATTTCTTGTAATGTATGCTTTTAATCATTTTGTCATTGACAAAATTGTTCTATGGAAGCTAATTAAAACTACATTCCCCATGACAAGCCACTTATAAGCAGTCAAGCATATAATCTAGTATATCTTTAGAAGACTACAGTCAGAATCAGCTCAAATTTTCTACAAGGATACATCTAAATAATTTTATTAATTTCAGAGCCATTTTTAGGAAAAAGCTGCAGTGATGCAGTCCAAATAGATATAGCTAGATCTATGTCTGCACATATCATTTCCACTGCCCATGTAGTTTTTCCATCAACTCATGTCAGTCTGTAATGCGGAGATAATTCTGATCTTTATAGTATGAGCTATCCATCATTTAGTTATTTATTTATTTTTATTGTTTCTTAGTTATTTATTCTCTTTCCCTCTCTCTCTTTCTCCTCTTCTCCCTGTCTAATCTCCCTATAATTTAATGTATTTGTAATTTTAGTTTTCTTTTTATTCTTATGGTCTACAGTGTCATTCACTGTTTTCCTTCAGCTCAGAAAACAATTATTCATCTTTAATTTTATTTGTCACTAATTTCTGTTTTGTGCTGTAAAGTATAATAATAATAATAATAATAATAATAATATACTATACCTCAATATACATAAAACTATTAAATTACTCTCAGGTTCATACTTTTTCTCCTAAAAAATTGAGCAATGTATTGTGATTTCATCAAATCTATTGCTTTATCAGTATCAATGTTAGTATAGTCAAAATTTATCATCTCCTGAGATCCTCCTCAGTCTGGCTAGACGGTGCCTGACCAGCCAGACTTATTCCATCTCGATAATGTCTTAGTCCGAGTTATAATCTCAGATGGTCGGATCCACTCCTCCATCAGTCTCATTTCGGTTTTAAACCAGCTTTTAAGTCATAAAATGTCCCAAGCCATCAATTACTTTCACTTTCTTGTATTATGTATTTATGTACACTTTACCAATTTACATTATTATTACTGCACGGTGTAAATTTATTTGGCTAATTGAAAAAAATAATAAATACATGATGTAGTGATGTCACATAAATAAATCAAAATTTACAGTCTAAAGATAAGAAATTGATTGTTTGATTTTACTTGGAAGAAAATTCCAAAGTCTATAATGGTAGATGGAAGGAAGGAGAGGTGATAGGAGGAGGTATACATGTGACAGAATGGGCCAATTATAGGGGCAATAGTGATGAGGGTGTAGAGTAAGGGGAAGAGTTGAGTATGTGAGTGAGGCCATTGTTGATTTTGTACAAGAATAGAAGATTTGAACTCATCTTATAAAAGGTTTTACAGGAAACAGAGAGAGAACAAAACTAAATCATAAGTAATAGCAACAGAGCAAAAAAGTCCTGAAAGAACAGAAGGGGCTTCATCCTAACGCTCAAATATTATACATGTTGTGACCAAAGTGGTGAAGGAACTGTCATAGGGGAGAATAACTTTAAGGAGTAAAAATCTCTTAGTAAAGAACGAACTATCATACAAAAACAACTGAAAAGTATGCATAAATCTATTATAAGAATAGAATCATGACTTCATTTCATTAGTTAATTTACCTATAGGAAGAACACTGTGCACATATGAATAAGCTTAACAAAGAAGGAAAATAACAATAATAATTATTATAATAATAAAATCAGTAACAATAATAATAATGATAATAGAATCAGTGATAGTAAAAGTAATGATAATAATAATAATAATAGTAATAATAGTAATATTAACAGTATTTATAATAATAATTGTACAGCACTCATAATAATAATGCAGAATTTATAACTACATAGGTAGAAAACACAATCAAATTAGCTAAATTTAATAAGAACTAATTAATACAATTAGACAATAGGAGTCCAACCTCTAGTGTTTTTCTAATTTT